GCGAGCGCGACGCGATTACGCGATCACGCCCTCGACCGATTAGCGGAACGCTGACGAGAAGCGACGAATATGAAGGTCAGAGACCTCAATAATTCAAATAAATACGAGAAGACCGATGCAGAGTGGAGTCAGTAATTTTAACAAGTTGTAACTTAAGTAATGTCGAAATTCCTGATGATGTTAAGTATTTGTTACAGTTGGGTGAAGGTTTTGGACTTCCAGTTAATAAATATAATTTTGAACATACATTTATTGAATTAGTTAAAAGCATTGAGTGTAATATTTGCAATCGTCCAAACAATATTATTAATTTTGTTAGGAACAATACAGTTCCAATATTAGAAAATTTTCATAATAAGTTTCCGAAAAAGGACTTAAATAGTAAAATAATATTTGACTGTATAAAATCCACAAGAAAGTTCACTAATGATCATCCTGAGGTGTTTTTTTCCAGGGCTGATAAGGGTAATGTGACTGTTGTTCTTGACAGGACTGATTATGTTAACAAGGTTGAATTGATGCTCTCTGATAAGAATACATATGAAATTATAAAGAAAGATCCTACTAAGAAGGTTACCTCAGATTTAAAAAATATATTGGTTCGATGGAAAAACAAAGGTTTTATCGATAACATAACTTATAAAAAGTTACTCACTACTGATGGTAATGTTCCAAGAGCGTACGGTTTAACAAAAATCCATAAAATTCACTATCCTATGAGAATCATTGTATCTTCTGTTAATAGTCCTCTATATAATTTATCAACTTTTTTACACAATATTATTGATGGTTCCATAGAAAAAGCTCCAAGTTTTGTAAAAAATAGTTTTGATTTAATTGATAAAATTAAAAATTTTAAGATTGATTCTAATTCTTCATTGGTTTCTTTGGATGTTGTTTCTCTATTCACTAACATACCTTTAGAATTAGCAGCTGAAAGTGTTGTTCGAAGATGGGATTCAATATCAAAAAAGACGGAGATTCCACTTGAAGAATTTATAATAGCTTTTAAACTAGTACTTAATTCTACATTTTTCATGTTTAATAATACATATTATAAACAAATTTTCGGAACTCCTATGGGATCTCCACTATCACCAGTGGTTGCTGACATTGTCATGCAAGACTTTGAAAAAACAGCAATTGAATTACTTCCTTTCCATCCTTTATTTTATTACCGATACGTTGATGATATTATTTTAGTGGTTCCGTCTGAGAGTATTAATGATACATTGGATGTTTTTAACTCGTTACATACAAGATTACAATTCACGATTGAAATTGGCAAAGAGAGAAAAATTAGCTTTTTAGATACTATGATTATTATTAATGAAGGAAGTTTGATTTTTGATATTTATCACAAACCCACTTTCTCAGGAAGATACCTTAATTTTTATTCCCATCATCCTATGTGTCATAAAAGAGGTGTTATTTATGGCGTCGTGGACAAAATTTTAAAGGTGTGTCATCCAACTTTTCAAAGAAATAATTTAGTAAATACCATTAATATTTTTTTACAAAATGGATACCCTCTCCAATTTATATTTTTTACAATTCACAGTAGGTTGAAATACCATATTAATAATATTAATTCTAATAATAATGTTAGTCCAGATAAGTTTTTTGCTATTCCTTTTATTAATAATGTTTCTGAGAAGTTCAAATCTGTTGCCAGTATGTTACATTGCAAGCTTGCTTACACTATTCCGAATACACTAAAAAATTATATTACTAGAGGAAAAGATAAGTTGGATTACACACACAACCAAAATGTTGTATATAAAATATCCTGTGAGAATTGTGAAGCCAGTTATGTAGGACAAACTAAGAGACAATTAAAAACTAGACTGCATGAACATGTTTCGGATATTAACAAAGGCTCAAGATCTCCTTCTGTGGTAACTGACCACAGATTGAAATTGAATCATAATTTTAAATGGAACAATGTTGAGATTCTTGATATAGAACCTTCTTACAGAAAAAGATTAATATCTGAGATGGTTCACATTAAAAAACAGACACACGGCATAAATAAACAAAATGATACGGAGTCATTGCCCGAGATTTACACTAATATGATACATTCCCTTTCCTTTTCTTAAATGTTCCTTCCTTGTTGTTTTTTCTTTTTCCTTCGCTTTTGACTTTCAATTACATTATCTGTTCTGACTTCATAGTGACAATATACCGCAAAATGACTTACAGTTTTTCAAATATATTTTATATCTAATGACTTCGATTTTAATTATGGACTTGTTGCTTCTTATGTATTTTGATAAGGTAATAGAGTTCTTGTTTTTATTAATTAATTTTTTATTGCCGTGAATTTCATTAATTTATATAATTGTTATTAGGATCAATTTATGTTTGTTTCAACATCTGACTCTTTCTATACTGATTTATATGAAGAATGCGTTTTTATCTTAATTCTGTAATTGTAATATTGAAGGTAATTGTTTTTTAATATTAATTTTTTGGTTATAATTTTATTAATTTGTAAATAATTTTTATTAGGATCATTTTTAATGGAAGAAGAATGCGTTTATTTTTTATTTCAACTTTATTATTTGTAACATTGATAATGAACCAATTGGGTTCGAAACGTTTGTTCTTTTTGTAATTTTTAAGTGTTTTATTAAATTTTATATATTTGATATTTTCTATAGATTTATTTGGCTCTTTGCCCTTCTTAGTTTTGTATTGTTTTATACATATAGAGCCTTCTCACTAATTATTTTATTCAGATATTATTAAAAGATATATAAAAAGAAAAAAGTGATTAATAATTATTGGCTGCTCCCGAATCCTTGGTGGATCCCGAATCCTGTGTCGCAAGTAGCGGCACAACAAGAGGACTAATATGAATTGTGAATGTGAAATAGATGCATCCTCGTAGTATATATATAACTGCTTATAAAAATAATTAAATGTAATTGATAATAATATAATAATAATTAATAATATTGTTTTAATAATTATTATAAATATGATTGAATCAAGGTTAGAATCGTCGATTATCCGGATTTATACCATTTTTGACCACAAAAATATATACAACATCGAACGTCGTTTGTATCAGTTCTTTCCAAAATGACAGATACTCGCATACCATTCCAAATTTATCTTGAGGATACTAAAGCAACTATAATTCTTCAATTAACGGCAGCAGAAGCTGAAAGAGCAACTAAAGGTAAGAAAATATAAGATATAAGAATAACATTTATAGGTTAACTCATTGTAATTTTAATATTTTGCTTCTCTCGAGTAATAAATTTACAGATAATGCATTTGTATTAAGATTAATAAACCAACACAATGCAAGGCGAAAGGAATCAGTTTTACAGATTTATGAAACCACGGATAACGAAATTGATACTTATATGCTTGATGAAGATACATCTTCTGCTTCATGTTCATCTGCTTTAGAGACAAATTCCTTGCATATCTCATCTAAACATGTACAATCAGTAAAATCGACACAAAATGTCAAAGAGTCAACTGGTGCGTATAAATTAATGGATCTATTCTGTAATTCTTAACGACTCTAACAAATATCATTAAATTATTATTGCGCAGCTATTTTGCAGTATACAAAATCTGCGCAATGATAATGTAACGATATCGTTGCAGTTGTTAAAAGTTATAGAATATGCCCTTAATGGTGTTAAATAATTTTATTATTGTCTTATGATCAAATTATTTTTTGGATTTCTTATAGAAAATGACAAAACTTTATTTCTATGGTCTTCAAAGAACGTATATTTGCTCTTGGAAAAATATGAGGAACGAATGAATGAGTTCTCTTCAGGTACAAAACGTCATTTTAAAATCTGGGAAAGCATTGCAAGCGACATGAAAAACGTTAATCCAGAATTTACAGCGTCAGGCATACAATGTCAGTCAAAAATGAATAGCATGAAAAAGATGTTTCAAAAAATCATAGACCACAATAGTGTGTCTGGAAATGATCGAAAGTCATGGCAATATTTTGAGGTATATTATAATGCATGTTTCTTTTTCTATGCACAAATAGATGTAGGTAGCTCTAATATAATTTTATTTTTAGAGAATGGATGAATTATTATATTTCGGAAAATCAGGATGGGCGTATCCGAAAGCAACAGCATCAGAGGCTGGGCCTTCATGTGAAAGTTCAATAGATGAGAATTATGATATCAATAAACCTATTGCTATAAGAAGCCAAAGTCTGAAAAAGTTTTAGATGAATTTATAAAGCAAATGAAGCAAGATAGGCAGGAAAGAGAAATGATAAAAGAGAAAAGGAAGCTAACTGTATTACAGGAACTAAAAGAAGAAAAAGGAAAACAACATAAAGAAAAAATGGATATAATGGGTGCGTTCAACGAATACAACGGTTGCATATCTGATCATTGAGCGCTCATTGAGCATAAAATGATCAGTGAACAGTTTCCTGAACGGTCTAACCGTTCATACATGCGCAGTAGCCACACTAAAACATAACCTTTATTTAAACGTCCCCCGTGCACGCATAGTGTTTATGTTTGAAAAAAAGTTCTTTTCGATATTTACAATGGCTGTTAATTTTATACTTCTGGCTTTGCTAGATGATAATGCTATAGAGAGAAATATAGTGAGACATTTTGTCGAAGAATTACAAAATCAATTACCAAATAATTTTTATGCGAGACGTGGTATACGCTGGAAAAATAAAAATTATTATGAAAGAATAGTTCCGTTGTATACTAATAACGTATATAAAGAACATTTTAGGATGTCAAGAATAGCTATAGAGGTAAGTCAGATATGATACAAAGTGATAAAAAGTAAGATTATTAGTACATATAAAATTTATTAATTATATTTCACTTTCATATGTTGTTACAGGAATTAGTAAATATAATTGGAAATGCAATGGATGAAAATTAAAACTATCCAGTGGAATTACAGAAGAAAGTATTATTTACGATCTGGATTTTAGCGAAACAAGAAAGTTATCTTTCAGTAGGAGATAGCTTTGGCCTATCAAAAAGTACCAGACATGGTATAGTAAAAGAAATTGTAAATGTATTGGTCCAGTTAATACCACAATATATCGTATGGCCTAACAGACAAATGTGCAACGTATCATCTACTGTAATATAAATATTTAGTATATTAATATTTATAATAACAAAATAAACTAGTCTTTTAAATGTTGAACAAAACTTTCAGGTTTTTGATCGACGTTCAGGTGGTTTTCCTGGTGTTGTAGGTGCGATCGACGGTGTCCATATACAATGTAAGGCTCCTCCTGGAAACGCTAATGATTACTACAACAGAAAAGGATTTCATTCCATTATCTTGCAAGGTAATTACAATATTTCTTAACATGTTTTCTCTACATTTTTCATTTCTTCAATATAATTGAATATTTTGTAAGAAACATAAATTTTATTATTAGGTGCATGTGATCACACAGGCCGTTTTATTAATATATACACTGGACTACCAGGCCGTATGCACGATGCTCGTGTTTTTAGATACAGTAACCTGTACAGACAATTAACAAATGCGGAAGATCCATTATTACCATCACAACTACATTTAATAGGAGATGCAGCATACCCTTTACTACATAATTTAATGACTCCATATAAAGATACCGGTCATTTGACAAGAAAACAAATAATTTACAACACCAAATTATCATGTATTCGCAGTATTATCGAAAGAACTTATGGTTTTTTAAAAACAAAATTTCGAAGGCTTTATTATTTAAATATCAGTGACTTTGAATTAGGACAAAAAATGATAGCAGCTGCATGCATATTACATAATTTTATGATTAATAGAGAAGAAATAAATTTTGCAGACGAAATAGAAATAGAAAATAACTTAATGTTATTACGCGATATTATAGATCCACTTGAACTTGATGAAAATGCTTCCGCTGTTGCAAAACGGGATATTATGCGTTCATTTAGATAACAAAAAACAAATTTTTATTAATATATATAGAGTTTTATATGTCATACGTGATATGTTTATAAATATAATAACATACTATTTATAAGTAAACATATACTATTTATGTCAAAAAAAATGTAATGAAACAAAATAAAATAATTGTTAAATGATCTCTTTCAAAATCATGCATAACAACACATTTTCGTATGTTTAACAGATAGTATTATAAATACTGTTTTTATAGCACTTTAAAAGTATAATAAAATAATAAAATATGTATTTATAATCATAAAATTAAAATAAAATACATATGGCATTTGTAACACGAAACAAAAATTTTAATAACGAAGAAAATTATTTTTGGCAAGATTCTGAAGCAAACAATTGCCTTATCAAGTCGTTTCGTTCTCGTTGAATTGCATTGCTTTCGTCTAAAGAATCCTTCATTCTGAGTATTGCTTCTACTCTTTTTTCTTCAATTTCTAATTGCTTTTTTCTTAGATTATATAATAATTTCTTTGATCTTTTTTCCGACAATAAACGACTGTTATGACCAGATATTGTTGATGTTGAACATGAAGATAATGGCCTTACAGATGTACCAGCTATACATTGAACATTTTCCTCATTCAGTATCGATGGAGAAGATGAAGTTAATACATTTGCAACAAGATTTGTGTTTAATATAGAAGTATTTTCTAGATTGTTTAATGTAGAAACATTTTCTAGATTTTGATCATTTTCTATTGTTTCTGGTTGGCACGATAAGTTAGATATTCCTGGACTTGATACACAACTTGTTAAAGTTGATTCTAATGTTGGTCCATGATTAATTGTACGATCATTAGCAAAAATATCATTAAATATTTCATAATATTCCCAAGATACTCGTTCACGTCCTGTGCTACTTTTTGTATTGTTTTCTTTAATTGTTTTATATGATCTTTTCATGTTTCTCATTTTACGATCTAATATGTCTTCATTAACAAAATATCCGTGATTTTCCATTACTTATACAATTTCACTCCATAACAGTTTCTTTTTCATTTTTGGATCGCGAAATTTTTCCTTCCTGTCCAAATATTCGTTAAGAAAAAGTTTTGTAGACTTTGTTGTCCATGTAAAATTATTTATTATATTACCTGAAAATAATAATTACGTTTTATATATTTATTGAAAAACAATATAGATATCAATAGATTAAATAATACATACATGAAGAATCTGCATCCTCAGAAATTGATATTAATTCTGGTGCAGTCGTGTTTTTTGCCATATATTCTTCAAAAAACTTGGAATCTACAAAATATGTATAATTACATAACTTTACAGAGACATCATAATTACATATAACTTTAAGAGATAGAAAATACAAAATAAGTCCAAATAACACAAAATTTAAAATTCAGATTATAAAATGTCTTTGAGGCACTCAAAAATTAAAAAGAAATAATTATAAAAATAAAATTGTACAATTAATAAAAAAAAACACAAATATTCAGTAGATATGAAGATATATTACATTGCAAAATCAGACATTAAAAAATCGAGAGAAACAAATTGTTTAATATTTTATTTTATTTAATCTAATTTTAGACTTTGTTGTCTGGGCAGATTAACTTTCCACAGATTAACCTATTTTTCACTTAAACAAAAAAAGGTTCATCATTGTAATTTTCGAAAGAATTTTGGACTCTAAAAATCTAAAAAAGAAAAAGTTCGATCTCAAACGATTCAAATTGGTCTGTGGAGAGTTAAGATTGATTAAATAAAAAAATATTTTAAATGTTAAATATTGATATTTACCGTTTGATAACGATTTATGTACTGTAACAGTATCCGTAATTTTATAAATTGCATTATTGTACATATAAATTTTTTCACATATATTCGACATTTTCATAAAATGTCCAAAAACTAGCTGCGTTTTCCGTTCACGCATATGCGCGCATTCCCCTATATAATATACGTAACGCTTACTATATAAAATGCACGCATATGCCTGAAACGGAACTCAGCTGCAGCCCATGTCTGCAACACGTTGCGCTCACTGAGCGTACTTCAAATTCGCTCAGAAACATGGCGTCCGCTCACTGAACGTGTTGCGAATACGCTCACTGATCAGACGCGTTCAGTGACCATTCTGCCAACAGTTGCACAACCGTTGTATTCGCTGAACGCACCCAATGAAAAAGTTTTGCGAAGTCGTTGCAGGCAAAAAATTATTTGACTAATTCTTTTTATACACAGATTTTATTACAGATTTTATATTCTTTGATTTTTACTGTGATATTCTGTTTGCAATATTGCAGAAAAGTTCTAACTTGCATTGGGATCCTATTGTGTGCAATTCTTAAGTTAATTTCAATGTTCTCAAATTCTTAGCTTCTATTTGTTTTTTTTTTATTTATTTTAATTTCATACATATAGTGTAAGATGATTCAAACTAGTCCCAAATTAACAGTAATTATTAATTAGGTACCTTTTTTTCTTTAATGGCTATGTATAAACTGCGGATTTGTTCGAACTGTTAAAACAGATATTATTTGATCGCTCTTACACACATACACACATGGAAGATTTTATGTTTTTTGATTTTTATTATGATATTCACTTATTATTAATCTGCGATATTGCAATAAAACTCTGAGTTCCTATATAGTTCCTATATTATACAAAAGTACGCATTAAACAAGCCTCATAATTAAATTGTTCATTATCCTTTGTCGTTTTCTATTGCCCTCATCTACTTTACTTGATGTCTGGAGACACGGTAGTGTCTCGGCGCTAAGCCAAGCGCGCGACACTGCCGTGCCTCCTTTACGCGACACGGAGAATTTTTCGGGTCGAGATGATCAGATCTCAGTAACGGCTGAACCGATCAAGTTCTACATACGCTCAATCGACAGAAAATACTAAAATTGTATAATAAAAGTGCTTTCATTTTTTTTCTACGTGCCCTACGAGCGGAGATATCGCGACGTAAAGTCGGGATCTGTGAATTTTCACGTTTCAATTTTAAGAAACGTCGTCATCATCATCATCGTTATTAACGTCGTCGACCAGAGAAAATGTCCATCTCGTTTTTCCGATAATAGAGGGCCTTTGACTTTATGTGTTATCTCACTCTATCTATCATCTCACTCTATCTATCTATATCTAACCAGCAGACCAGTGTTGCATGCTGTATCACATATGACGCGCGCGCGATTTAACTTT